TGGGCACCGCCCAGAAAGAGGTGTCCTTTTCCCGGCAGGTGAAACCGCCCTGCTCCACCACCACCTGGGAACAACACAAAGCAAGAGGCCCCAGGGGTCTGCCTGGGAAGCTGCCAGGCCTGTTTGTCCTCTCAGCGGTCAACAAACAGGAGGGCACGTTCAGCACGTGGGGCTCTGCTTTCTGAACGAGGCAGCATTACAGCATCCACATCTGGTTTTTTTTTTTTTTTTTTTAGACAGAGTGTTCCCCTGTCACCCAGGCTGGAGTGCAATGATGTGATCTTGGCTCATTGCAACCTCCACCTCCCAGGTTCAAATGATTCTCCTGCCTCAGCCTCCCGAGTAGCTGGGAACATCCAATTTTTAAAACTGAAGTAAAACATAAATACCGTGTAGTGTGTGAGGCACAGGAATCTCAAGCACATGGCTCGCTGAACGTTTACACCCTTAGCTCCTGCACAGCTGCCACCTGGACAGAGATACCAGCCCTTCCCAGCACCGCACCAAGCACCGAAGGCTCCTTCCAATCCATTTACCCATCCCGAATCCCCTCTGTGGCTACGTGCCCTTTCCTGCTGCGGTGAGGATTCCATTGTACAAACAGGTGAAATTTATGGACTATTTCCTCCAGTTAGCTGCTATTATGAATAAAGCTGCCATGGATTTGCTTGAACATGTTTTGTTTTGTTTTGTTTTTTGAGATGGAGTCTTGCTCTGTTGCCCAGGGTAGAGTGCAGTGGAGTGATCATAACTCACTGCAGTCTTGAACTCCTGGGCTCAAGCAATCCTCCCACCTCAGCCTCTGAAAGAGCTAGGAGCACAGGCACGCACCACTACACCTGGCTATTAACAAATTTTTTTCTTTTTTTGTAAAGACGAGGTCTCACTATGTTGCCTAGGCTGCTCTCAAACTCCTGGCCTCAAACGATCCTCTCACACTCGTCTCCCAAAGCACTGGGATGACAGGCGTGAGCTGACATAACATGTTTGTACAAGGCAACATGAAAAAAATGTTCAGGGTAAAAGAAACCTTCACTAAAAGCATGAGTATTGGAACCAGGTTATATATTATGTGATTCTTAAACACTCTTAAACAGCCCAACTATAACTTGAGGAAAATAGTAATAAGCATGGCTGACTTCATAGAAGATACAGGCTTCAAACAATCAGGACTGATCAGACCTGGGTGGTTCATACAGCAGTAGCTCAATAACCCAAAGATGCATCTACTGTCACTGCCCATGGGCTCAATACCAGGCCAGTTAACTGCAGGTGGGGGATAAAATAAGGCACTCTGCCAGTGCTTCAAAGTGAACTCTATCTGTGAAGGACAGAACGTATATAGCATACTCCAATGAAAGATGAGATTTAATAACTGCCAAAGCATTGCACTCCCTTATCCTGACATTTTAAGAGTGCACAGAGGAAGTAAAGTCCACTGCATGGCACAGCCCAATGGCAGCAAATGTTTGGCAATTTGGAATAATCAGATCAACACTGCTCCCAGTGAAATTTCTAAGGCAGAGGCAGGAATGCAAGGCCTGCAGTTATGAGAATACTCCTACTCCCAACTGAAGGAAAAAAAAATGTTTTCACAGATAACAAACCCTCCCTTTGCAGGCAGAGGTAGCAACAGGTGACTGCATCACTGAAACTGAAGACTTCGAATTTCAAGAGGATAAGTCTAACATTGGGTGAAAAAGTAAATTCTTCTGTTCTTTTCTGGAGGGGGAGGGGCAGTCACTGCACTAAGGACTAATCTGAGACTTGAAAACAATGGCTCTTAATTCCATGTGGACGACAAATTTTGAAAGTATTGTAAAAGTCACCAAATCTTTTGCAATTCAAATTATGCCTCTGGGTGCTCTGCTAGATGTTGGGGATGCAACCTTAAGATGTGTCCTGCCTTCCTTGGGCTCACAGGCTGATACAGCAGGTGGATTGCTGGGAAGTACAGTTACCTGATTATTATTACTTTTCTGTTTTCCTTTACTTCTCCTGACAGGGAGAAAAGAGAAAGTGGTGGACATTTGATTTATCAAATCTTGACTAATCACCTACTATATTCAAGGCCAACTGTAACCACACTGGAAATAGTGCAGAAAACACACAAAGCTCCAAGTAGGAAATAACGGCCTGAGGGTGAGGCAGGAAAGAAACAAGACAAAATTCTTCTAGAACACAGATGAAACCCTGGGCCTGCTCCCTGTGCAGCAAGCCGCACCCCACCCCACCCCGCCCCACCCCGGAGCCCACACTAGAGGACTGACATGGAAATGTAGCCAGGGCGTCCCTGTTCCCCACACGATCCTCCCCAACAACCCTTCTTCTGTCAAACTGCTCAGAAAGAACCAAAATTACAAATTCAGTCTCAGGGTTAGTTGTATTCACATGATACAAAGCAATTAGTTATTGACTTAAAAACTTTTCTTGTTGCATACTTGACTGGCTATTTTGGAGTCCTATAAACAAGCACCATTTGCTCATACTTCACTGTCTGGCCTTAAAATTAGACACAGTCTACTTATACCCAAAAAAAGCAACACCAAAAATCTTCACCTAAAAAACAACCAGGTTAGTGCAAACTGCCAGTGTAGAGTCAAGAAGGGGAAAAAGGGCCGGAGGCAGTGGCTCATGACTGTAATCCCAGCACTTTGGGAGGTTGAGGCAGGTGGATCACTTGAGGTCTGGAGTTCGAGACCAGCCTGGCCAACATGGTGAAGCCCCATCTCTACTAAAAAAAAATACAAAAATTAACTGGACATGGTGGCGCAGGCCTGTAGTCCCAGCTACTCAGGAGGCTGAGGCAGGAGAATCTCTTGAATCAGGAGGAGGAGATTGCAGTGAGCTTAGATCGAACCACTGCACTCCAGTCTTGGTGACAGAGTGAGACTGTTTCAAAAAAAAAAAAAAAAAAAAAAAAGAAAGCAAGAAGGAGAAAAAGCAAGTTTGGACTACTTTTTGAAAGAGGAGAGCAATTTTGCACAGTAAAAAATGGGCAAATGACTACACTTTACACAAATTCCACGTTTGGGAAATAGAACAGGAAAACAAGTGTGAGGAGGCCTCCGGGTATCAGGCCACCAAGATGTCTCAAAGGCACAATGTAACAGAACAGTTATTTTCACAAAACTGCAACAAGTCAATATCTGCTAAACAATCTTTCAAAGCTACATGTCATGCCATTCTATCATCGATGCATCCAAACTTGGCTTTACCATAAAAAAGTTTGCTCCTTCAAATTTCCCAAGAGCTGCTTCATCTGGGCAGTCACTCCACCGACATAGGCCGTCGGTCCTGGCCATGGTCTGCCCTCTGGTTTGGGCACCCGCAGAACCTGACATGCTCTTTGCTAATTGCCCTATGTTCGGCCACACCCTAGGGAACTTAGTTTTAGGGATACACACAGAGGGTCTTCACAAAGAAAAGCAAGCCCCAACAGAATAAATGGCACAAGGAAAGGAAGGAATGGGTATATCACAAGACTATGGGGAGATGAAGTTACTTTACGAGACACATGCAGAATTCCATCTTTCTCTGTTTCTGATGGGAGTGCAAAGGTGTGCAGAATAAAATCAGTTTATGAGAGAGCACTCACTCCACATGTGTTTATTCAATACCATCCTACAATAAGCCAGGCACACATCAATTCATCCCCTCGAGGAGGCCTTGCAAATGTTCCCAATTAACTGGTCTTTATGTTGCAGAAACGACTTTCTTTTTCTTTTTTCTTTTAAATTATCTAACGGCACCCATAAAAACCTTAGAGTCAGAAAATTTGCAGAAAGTAAAGACATCTCCTCAGTAAATGAACAAATGATAAATGTGCAAATTCATTCAGGTCAGAAGTTGTGAAACAGAATTGTTATCATATTTTTGCAACACAGAAGATTGTGATGATCAAAGGCACTAAAAATAGCCCAGAAAAAATGAAGACAACATAACTGGAAATGAAAAAAAAAAAAAAAAAAAAAACCGAGAACCTTATTCAAAATAGCAAACTGTTCACTCATAGCACTCATTTATCTATGAATTATTCTGACAATAGGAAATGGAATTTAAAAATTTTCCTGAATCTAAAACTGTATTTCCCCTCCCACATTCCCTCCGGGAAACCTTGTTCATAAACAAACAATTCCCAGATAACTAACTTCTTGGCTGGCTGTTTCCATGTGAATGGCAGCTCCCAAACTTGCCACTTCATGTTCCTGTCGCCTCATCAGTGATGTCATGGAAAGACATCAGACATGCTGTTATTATTGTTGAGCTACAGTCTGCAAAGGAAATTATGCTGCCGCCTCTAGGTTTTAATTTTCCATGAAAAATTATTCTCATTGCCATAGCTGCTGAGACAGTGAAAAAGAAAAATGATTTAATTAGGTAACAGCCATAATTAGATTTTTTTAAGTACGCTCTTTCAACATAAAAGTTACATTACTGTACAGCTTCATGTGGTTTAACAGTGTATTTTCATCAGACCCTTCCAGAACATATGAAGGTGTTGAATAACAACCGAAGGAAGAAAAGGAATGCTAAACTGCTATCAGGAAGTTATATCTGAAAGGAGCTTTGAAATGTGATGGGAAGAAGTGAGCAGCTAAGATGGGAAGAACCTCAAACAGTGAACTGGGGAGACGAGCCCTTCTTTTGTGATTACCATTCCCCATCCAGGGGGTGGAGAAAGACAGTAACAGGCTCCCCACCTGAGAGATAGCGGCAATCAGGATGAGAAGGCAAGGATGACTAGAAAGAAAGAAATAACAGGCGGGGCGCGGTGGCTCACGCCTGTAATCCCAGCACTTTGGGAGGCCAAGGCAGGGGGATCATGAGGTCAGGAGATAGAGACCAACCTGGCTAACATGGTGAAACCCCGTCTCTACTAAAAATACAAAAATTAGCTGGGCATGGTGGTGCACACCTGTAGTCCCAGCTACTTGGGAGGTTGAGCCAGGAGAATCGCTTGAACCCAGGAGGCAGAGGTTGCAGTGAGTCAAGATCATGCCACGGTGCTCCAGCCTGGTGACAGAGCTAGATTCCATCTCAAAAGAAAGAAAGAAAGAAACAACAGTAGTAATAGAAGACAAAGTAGAAAAATGAAGAGAATCAACTCTGTTCAGCATAGACTTGAGCTAGTGAGAGCAAAGTGTGATGAGCTTTGTAAACATAATTACAGGCTTTCCCCTGTAGTCGAGAGAGAGAGAGAGAGAGAGAGAGAGAGAGAGTACAGAAATTGAACCTATAAGAACTATGATTACAGAATATGAGAGATTTGTTTACTTGTCACCTCCTCAGAAGTTCAAGGTATGATTCAATGTTAAGTCTTGAAACTTCCCTACAAATGTATCTCAAAAAATTAGTGAAGGGTTAAAAATATCTACGTTATTTAGAAGTCATGAAATCTGTGTGATTCCACATTAAAAGAAATTCATCTTTTTCTCTTAATTCCACCAGAAACATTGAGAATTTTACGAAAGGTCTTGGAGACATTCTAAAATTCTAAATGTGGAACCTGAATAACATCTGTTGACAACACTTTCATGAGTTCATCGTATATTTCAAACAGGTTTAATTTTATCTAGTTTACACTAACATAACCAAGTCTCCTTCTTAGTTCAATATTGTGGCAATAGATCAAGACACATGTCAATATGTCACTGAAGAAAGACGTTAGACCCTGCCACTACCTTCACTCAAGCTCCTGAAACCTGGAAAAATAGCAGGAGAGATAGGTAGTTGAAACTCAGAAAAATTCCTAGGCCGCTAAGAGAGCTTCCTAAGGATACATCAAAGAGGCTGAAATTTACCAGCTGACTTGCCTCTTGAGGGAAACTCCTATATGGGAAACATGGTCAGGGATGGTGGTCATGTTACCCACAAGGAAGCGTTGTTATGGAGACAGCTTTGAAGGATCTCTGTCAATTCCAGTGTATAATTAAGGCTAGTGAGTGATCACAGAACAGTCAGCAGGGTGGTCTCCATGGAAACCACCACATTTTCACATGGAGAGCAAATATTCTGAATCAATGACTCTTTATATAGGTTTAAAAACATTGTGAATGGTGTATCAATTGCTTCTTTTGTGAGACAATAACTGATTAAATATGCTGTGAGAGACCTTGTCTTCATGCACGCTGAATTCTGAGCAGTGTCCAGAATAGACAGTCCATAGCTAGATTTACTACCTAGAACTAGTGAATACAAATAGTAAATTCAGACCCAGGAAATCACTGCTTAATTTCATGAGAGAATTAAAACAGCAGATTGTTAAGTCAAGGAAGACCTGTCAACCTAACATTAATCTAGGGCTGTCTACATATTATTTAATCCTCTCAGTAACATAGACATTATTATTACACTGTTTACAGATGAGAAAAAATGATTCACACACCTAAATAGTGGCAGACAAGACTCAAAGCTAGGTCAAAATTAAGTCTTGGTCTAGGTCCGTATGACTCTGCATAATGCTCTGTGTCTGCAGAGCACTTTTCCACCACCAGCCATTTCACATACATTATCTCATATATGCTGCTTTAAAACACTTAGGACATCGGGTTCTAGCATTTTCTAATTTTACAAAATGTCCCCCACTCCGGGTCCTTGACTCCCTGCCCAACTTCTGTACCCACAATGCACTCCAGGTTGTAGGACTTACATGAGACCATGTCTGAGAAGGATTTGACCGTCTTTCACTTCGACAGTATGAACAAGCATTCCATCCTAGGGAGTAATGGGAAGGAAAATCCATGCCATAAGTGTAACAAGGTCTCCCTCTGTGGCTCAGGCTGGAGTACAGTAGTGCAATCACAGCTCAGTGCAGCCTGGAACTCCTGGCTCAAGCAATCCTCTTGTCTCAGCCTCCTGAGTAGCTGGGACTATAGGTACAAGCAATCATACTTGCCTAATTTTTTAAAACTTTTTGTAGAAATAGCCCCTTGCTATGTTGCCCAGGCTGGTTTTGAATTCCTGGCCTTAAGCAATCCTCCTGCCTTGGCCTCCCAAAGGGCTGGGATTACAGGCATGAGCCACCACGCCCAGCCTATAAGCATAAAATCTGACTCCAAACAAAGCAAAAAGAGGGACAAACAATCCAATTAATTGGATTATTAATGTAATGCTTGTAGCATTTACAACACAATCAACCATGAGAGAAAGCGGAATTTGGAGCTGGGGTGAAAGAAGTTCAGATTGCTGCGTATTTCCAACTTTAATCAGTCTATTACATAATTTTAAAATCTGGCAAATGCTTTATTAAGCAGGCAATGATAATTAATAATATAGTTCCTAGCAGATCATTACGTAATGCTACAATTGAATGTAAATGTGATTAGCATTTAGTCCTGAATACCAGCGATAACTGTCAACACTGTCAGAGCTTGTTATAATCAGGTTTTTGCACTATCTTTGGGTATCTTCTAGTTCAGACTCCTTGCTTTATGGCTCAAACAACAGAGGATTAGAGGGTGTCTTAGTCCATCTGGACTGCTATAACAAAATACTATAGGCTGGGTAGCTTACAAACAATAAAGATTTGTCTCTCACAGTTCTGGAGGCTGGTGAGGCCAAGATCACAGCCCCTGCAGATTCCATGTCTGGTGAGGGCTGCTGGCTCAGAGATGGCACTTTCTCATGGTGTCCTCAGGGTGGAAGAAGCAAGGCAGCTCTCTGTGACCTCTTTCACAAGGACACTAAAGCCTTTCATGAGGGCTCTGCCTTCATGATCTACCTACCTCCCAAAGGCCCCACCTCTTACTGCCATCACCTTGGGGCTTAGGATTTTAGTATATTAATTTTAGGGGAACATAGACATTCAGACCAGAGGAAAGGGGTTCAGCAAATAGTGACCACAGTCAAACACTGAGAACTTCTTCCTTTCCTTTCTTCCCGAGATGCCAGTCCCTCTACCACGCACTTCATGGAAAAGACCAGAGCCTCTGTGTATGCCTCGCTGCTGTCACTGCCCAGGGCATTTCTAATACCACCAAACTGTAGGAATCTAGTGCCTGGGCAACATAACAAGATCTCATCTCTACAGAAAAATAAAATTAGACTGGCATGGTGGTACGTGCCAATAGTCTCAGCTATTGGCACTGGGGAGGCTGAGGCAGGAAGACTGCTTGAGGCCAGGAGTTTGAGGATACTGTTGTATGATCACATCACAGCATCCCTGCCTGAGTGATACAGAGATCCTGTCTCTAAAAAGAAAAAAAAAAAAACGAGTGTATCTCAAAATCCCATGGATGTGCCTGTTTCAGGCCAGCAGTACATTATGACATAGTTTTAGGGAAGGGGTAGGGGAGGCAAGTGGGTGCCTAGGCTGCAGCATTTGAGATGCTTGGTCACACTCAGGCACTGACCCAGCACCGCACGGCCCGAGAGTGAGGGCCACCCTCACCTTGGTTCCATGTACATGAAAAATGAAACTCTAACAATAGAAAATATAAATGAAATCAAATCAAGAGACTTATCCTAAGTAAGCTACGAAAAGTTATTTTCCCAGGGCCATAGGAAAAACAGACAAAGTCTCGGTTTTTTGGTCCATCACTGTCTTCGGAACATGAGATGGTGGTAGCAATTATGGCATTAGCTTTAAAGGAAGAAAGTGATCTTACAGTGGCAGCTTTGAAGAGGGGAGCACAGGCTGACTCCTCAGGCCCCACGAGCGTGGCTGCAGCTGTCTAGGGAAGCTTCTCCCCGCTAGCTCTTGGCCACATAAACTCACTCTGACCTCCACTGCTTCTTTCCAATGATGCTGAGAACTTCAGTTGGTTTGAAGCTGACGCAAGTAAGACAAAGCACTACTCAATCCAGGAAGAATTCTCATGTGAGGACTGAAATCTGCTGGAGAAACTGACTAGGAGAAAACTATAAACACACATGCCACATCTTCCTTACCCATGCCCCTGCATTTCTCTTCAATTTGTTCGCTTTGTTCTGCCTGAGTGTTTACATTATGTGTAAGAGAGGATCCTGAGATTTTATGAAGATGCAGTTAGATTTCACACGTCCAAATTTACCAAAATGAGAGATTATTTTTTAAAGCATTGCTAAATATTCTGATATGTTTGGCTACTTAAGTTTTTTCTCAAATTTCCAGAGAGAAAAACATTAACAATAGTGATAACATAAAATGACTTTGAAGGCACTTTTTCCCCATGCTAAGCATTTTCAGATCTGAGGAAGATATTTAAAAAGGTCAGGACTGGAAAGAGACACAGACACCTTCTCTCAGAACTCGGAACTGATGAAGTTGATGTGATATCTTCGAAAACAGCCCAAAATGGGGCCTTTTGGAGCAGTGAAGAGGGCCCCCTCGGCCCCCTGAATGACCTCCCTCCCTGTGTATTTTTGAATCTTCACATAAGACCAATTCTCCTCCGGTACCACTGAAACATCCTCCTGAGTCACTTTCTGAACATGCCGGCATCCAGTGGAGACCCAATGACGTCATGGGAATGCTATATTGCTAAGTATGATTTTGTCGTATTTCAAATGTCAGCACATTTTGATGTGTAGGTGGTCCAAAGAACGGATACATATTCTACCATTAGGATCACGAGCTTATTTTCAAATAGGAAAAAGAGAGAAAGAGAAAGAGAGAGAGAGAGAGAGCAGATGTACCCAAGGCTGGAAGAGAGAGATCTTAATGGCTCATTGAATCCAATTCTCATTTGAGAAGAATTAGCATTAAACCACAGCAGCCAATTAAAAATCCTCCCTCTTCTGAATTAAGTATTGAGGAGAAAAGTATAAACCTCACTTGGAATTTAAGAAGAAAAGAAAAATACAATAAATGAAAAAGAGACTAGAAACTAGTGGTCAAATAGGTAAAGTTATATATGTAGGGGAAAAAAAAATGTCCTAAGGACGGGCGCGGTGGCTCAAGCCTGTAATCCCAGCACTTTGGGAGGCCGAGGCGGGTGGATCACGAGGTCAAGAGATCGAGACCATCCTGGTCAACATGGTGAAACCCCGTCTCTACTAAAACTACAAAAAATTAGCTGGGCATGGTGGCGCGTGCCTGTAGTCCCAGCTACTCAGGAGGCTGAGGCAGGAGAATTGCCTGAACCCGGGAGGCGGAGGTTGCGGTGAGCCGAGATTGCGCCATTGCACTCCAGCCTGGGTAACATGAGCGAAACTCCGTCTCAAAAAAAAAAAAAAAAAAAAAAAGACAAAAAACAAAACAAAAAAAAATGTCCTAAATCCTAAAAGACAGGATTTAAGCACTATGCTTTGAGCACTATTACTTTACAGCTCTCAGGGAGGATTTGCGTGCCATAAAATTCACTTATTGTAAAGTGAATGATTGTTAATGAACAAATTAATAAATTAAGTTAAATGAAGATGCAACCATCACCACAATCCAGTTTGAAAGTTTTCATTAGCCAAAAATTTCCTTTGAGTCTATTTGCAGTTCATCTCTTTCTCCAATAAACCACTGGTATACTTTCCATCTCCATAAATTTGCTTTGTTCTGGACATTTCACACAATAGGAATAATACTCTATGTATTCTTTTGTGACTGGATTCTTTAGCTTAGCAGAGTATTTTTGACGTTCATCCATGCTGTAGCAATGTATTAATAGCCCATTCCTTCTGATTATTGAATAGTATTCCAAATTGTACATAGATGCTATATCTTATTTATATATTCACTAGTTGATGGACATTTAGAATTATTTCCACTTTGGGGTTCTTATGAATAATGCAAATATGAACACTCATGTATGAGTTTTTTTGGGGCCACATATTTTCATTTCTCTTGGATGATTCTTAAGAATAAAATTGCTACGTTGTAGGCACTTTATGTTTAGTCTTCTAAGAAACTACCAAACTGTATTCCACAGTGGATGTATAGATGCCCACCAGCAATTTATGAATGTTCTGGTTTCTCCACATCCTTACCAGCATTTGGTACTGTCTGTATCTTTTCAAGAAATTATGCGAGTGGGTGTGGGGTGATAACTCATCATGTTTTCAATTTACATTTCTCTAATGACCAGTGATGCCCAACACCTTCCTATGTACTTATTAACCTATTACTATTAACTTATTATTAAGAAGACGGTAGATATCTTCTTTTGTGAAATATCTGTTCATGTCTTTAGATCAGTTTTATTTTTCATAAGTATCAACATTATCTTTTTTTTTTTTGAGATGAAGTCTCACTGTCGCTCAGACTGGAGTGCAGTGGTGCGATCTTGGTTCACTGCAACCTCCGCCTCCTGGGTTCAAGTGATTCTCCTGCCTCAGCCACTACAGGTGCGCACCACCACACCCAGCTAATTTTTGTATGTTTAGTAGAGATAGGGTTTCACTTGACCTCAGGTGATCCACCTGCCTCAGCCTCCCAGGCATGAGCCATTGTGTCCAGCCTCAACATTATAATTTTATTTATTATTTTTATTTTATTTTTGAGACAGAGTTTTGATCTTGTTGCCCAGGCTGAAGTGTAACGGTGCGATCTCAGCTTACTACAACCTCTGCCTCCTGGGTTCAAGTAATTCTCCTGCCTCATCCTCCTGAGTAGCTGGGATAACAGGCATGTGCCACCACGACTGGCTAATTTCGTATTTTTAGTAGAGATGGGGTTTCTCCATGTTGGTCAGGCTGGTCTTGAACTCCTGACCTCAGGTGATCCGCCTGCCTCAGCCTCCCAAAGTGCTGGCATCACAGGTGTGAGTCACTGTGCCCGGCCTATTTATTTGTTTTTAACTTGT